GGAGGATCTTAGTGAGGATGAGATGCTCAATGGCTGTTTTGGGTTTGGTTCCTATGTTGATGTCTGTTTTCACTTCTCTTTATGGTCGACAAAATATCTAAAATTGCTCTTTGTTTTATAGAATTTGTAACATATCGGATACCAATACAAAAATTGATTTTTCGGTTTAGTTTTGATTTGAATCGGTTAAACTAAACCAAATTGGGAATCTTAAAGATCCAAAAAACGTCCATATATAAGATTTGAAATTTGAATACACATCATGATCCCACTTAATCTAATCACGAGATTTTGATCCACGCCAAAACGTGGGATAAAATAATTGAATATGTTGAAAAATCAATTTTAATATACCTAAATTTTTAATACTTAAATGTCTATAACAAACTATATGATTTATAATATATGTAAACGTAAAAAAAATGATATGTATGGTGCATAAATGTAATAAAATTGAATATTTTTGATCAAACATATGTTAGTGCCATCATTTTTAATATTTTTATTTGTAAATTAATCAAAACATATGTAAATATTATTTATTTTAATACGTTTTACATGTAAAATTGATATTTTAGATTTATAGAGAATTGATAAATCAAATTAATTTTAGTTTTATATGAATTTACCGGACAAAACAAACAAAAATATGTTTTTTCAATAATGAAAAGTATAAATATTTTAAGAGTGATTAAATATATATAGTAGAATACATATCATAATAAAAATATTTGGATAATATACTAATTTTAATATATACTGGTGATAAATATAATAATAAAAGCTTGTTAATGTTTTTGAAAAATAGATTTTATGGTAAGTTTAAAATATTATATTTAGTTGAGTTTAAAAATTTAAAATATGTATTAATGGATTTATGTTAAAATTTAATAAAAATATACAAAAAAATTCTATCATGATATATACTTATAATTAAAATATTTTGATTGGTTAAATTCGATGATGTGTTCCTTAAATTACTCTATTTGATTGACGTCTATGATTTTTTTTTCCAGTGTTTGCTTAATTAATATACAGAAGATAATGATACTAGAGTATAGGGGTATTTTGGACATTTTATATTTCCATACTTTGGGTTAATAAAAACTTTGTATTCCCATTTTTCCCAGTTCGCTTTATCTCTCCGTCGTCTCTCATCGCTTCGCTTGATTTCTCCATCACTCCGATCAGAAAGAGAAACCCTAAAAATGGTATGTCTGATTTGAT